AAACAGGCGCTTGGTTTGGGCGGATGGAATCGGCCGTGGCTCGACCCGAGGATTCGACTGCGCACATTGAGGTCTACGCGAGTCCCTGGGTGGCTGATCCAATGGTGCAACTGAAATGCCTCAAATACCCGACCCCAGCTGATCAAGGCAATTCAGATGATGATGCGGCTGGTGAAGCCGATGACGACGACGATGGCGGCGATCCTCTGTGCCGCGATGGAGTTGGGCTTATGGCCAGCAAGAGGGCTTGTCGGCGGTTCTGCAAGAAGAATTTGCCCGATTTGCCCAAGTATGTGTACTATCCTGATGGCAATACCAAGCGCAACTACTGCCCTCAGGTGCGTGTGTACCTAAAAAGAAAATAACAAGCCAGAGTGTCAGAGTTGCATCAGTGCTCATAAAGTGCTGTTTTTCACATAACTTCCTAGGCCTGCGTGTGCTGCCCACCCAAAGTGGCTGACGAAGCGACATGTGCCGCATCGTGCAAAAACGGTTATATTTATCAGCGCAAGGTTCCGGATACCGGGTGCCGTCGTGTGTGCGAATGCACGTCGTAAACGTCTAGTCCTGCCCATTTCGATGCTAACAACATCGTTCACTTTGTTCAAAAGCCTAAGCGGCACTCGTCTATTGAGTAGATCAATTCAGAACAAGCACAGTCAACTCGATGAACACAACTCTAGACACGACCAATCAAAGCTCCCGGACAAAGTGCGGTGACGTGCATGAGTGCGTGGGATCACAACTAAGGGACCCAAAAACGGATGACACAAGGTTCCAGAGCGGTGGGCCAATCAACGCGACTGTTGTCAAGCCAGCAGCCAGCCAACTTGACAGTAGTCGCGGCCCGCAGCTGGGGAGGGTGTACACAACATGGAATGGGGAGAAGAAACAACAGAAGGAAAGAATACAGCGCGTTTAGCAAGAAAAAAAGATTGAAAGATCACTGAATCAGGAAGGGATTAGACTGCCTTGCTGCCAGCCTCAAGATCACCATACTGCTCCTCGAATGTATCCTGCCAGGTTATCAACAGGCCGCAAAGTGAGCATGGCCAAGAGAGCGAGCAAGAGCGAGATAAAAAAATCGTACCGAGAGCAGGCGAGCGAAGATCTCAGTGAGAGAGAAGATGACGGCAAAGCCAAGAAGGACTTGAGTGGTGGAACCGATAGAACCGGCAAAATCGTTGCACAGCAAAATGACCACCGCTTGGTAGCTGCAATGTTTCAAGCGAGCAAGACGAGAGAAGGACATGAGAAAGACGTGTTTGTGATGCACACAGTGACAGGCGTGTCGAGCCGCACCGCTCGTTGAAAAGACCGCAGCCTAGAACAGCATCGACAAAGGTGGTGGTGATGTTGTTGAGCTCGTTGTAAGCGTTGATCAATTCTTGCTTGCCGCTCTGTTCGTCGGAGACAAAGATGTATAGTCAAGGGTGAGGCAACAATGGGAAAGACAGACAAAGGCGCATCGCTGGCAAACGATTGCGTACCTCACACTCCGCGACATAGGGAGCTGCACCGGAACAGTCAATGTCATTCACAGTTGTGCCGAAATCCTCAAGCGCCTCAAGGATGCTATTCATATCGCCTTGAAAGGGATTGTTGCACGAGCGAAGGGTTTCATCCTGATCGCAGGTGATGTAATAGACACCAATGTCGCCGTCTGCAGAAGCATCAAACTCGGCCAGCTGCATGACGTGGACGTCCGCGTCAATGCAAAAGTCGCTGGAAAGCTGGGCAACGCTGCATGCCATATGGCAAGCAAGCGAGAAAATCACATGGCCCGATACCGTCAGCAAGGCACGGACAGAGGCATGCGCAGCTTAGGCTTGTATTGTATTGATGATGCGGGAGTGTGTATCGGCACGCATGTGTATACAAAAGGCATGATGCGTATGCCCAGGGACGTACTAGATGAAGACGGCGGCCACGATCCAGAGGATAAGGACGAGAAGGAGGGTCAAGGATGAGATGATACATGTGATGGGCTTGCAAGCGCCGGTGGCGGCCGGGCGGCACGTGTCGGGACCCTTGGCGTTCCACAGGGCAAAAATAGCCGTCAAGACGACAAAGGCGCACAAGACGCCGAGGACGGCACGAAGGAATCGTGAGCGGGACTTGTCGTAGTCTTGCAAATCATCATCAAACGACTTGGTCAGCTCTGAAGCATCAAAGCTGCTGGCTTCTTCGCGGATGCTTTCAAGGGCGTCGCGAATCTGTCTGAGATCGTCGGCATCGACACCAGCAGCTTGGAGGCCGTCATTGTTTTCAATGGTGTCGATGGTTTCTTCAACAAGATCAAACAAGGGCACCGAGGCGTTGTAAATTTCATCCGGGATGTCAGCTGCGGCACGAGAATACACAAACGGCTTCATGAGCTGGCAAGTTCGAGCTGCAGGAGTGAGGCGTGTCAAATCTATGTGCAGACATGGAAGGAGGACAAAGTTGCGACAAGGTATACATACCAAAGAGTTGGACGACCTCGGGAATGCCAGTCATGGCTACAGCAAGATGAATAATTCAGACGAAAGAGGCGTGAGGCATCAACGGACAGTCACACAAAGTGACAAGAGGGTGGCTGAGCATGGTGGCTGGCGCAAGAGGACAGCTTGGGTGCAGAAGAAATTCCGTACCATCGGATTGCTTCTTATCAGCGCCGAGACCCACGCCAACAAAGATGATGGCGATGACAACCATGACTATGGCAAGCCAAGACCCGTACGCGATGATGAGAGTGCTTCGGGCATGCGCCGTGCTTGATCGATGACAGTGCACACAACGTACGGATAACCAGGACTAGCAGAACAATCTGGCAGGTGGCGGAGACTTCGTGGAGGCGGCACTTCTGGCGGCAGCAACAGCAGCTAAGCGGAACAATGTGCCAAATGAGCTGAGGAGTGTTTAAGGATTTGACAACCGGCCACGCAAAAGACACGGGGTGGCACGAACCGGCACATGGCCCAGCACAAAATGCCAAGAAAGAAGAGGAGGCCAAAGACGACGGCCACAATGGCGCCCCGGAAGAAGACGTCAAGCAACCGGTCCTGATTGATATCATCTTGCGTCCAGTTGGTACCTGCAAACGAGTCAGTCAGAGGAGCAGCAGGGCACAGAATGAGTGGAGGGCGGACGGAAGGCGGGCGGAAGGCGGACGGAGAAAGAGTGCAAGTCGTTGCGAAGCAGAAAACGTCAATCAACGCACCGCTCTTGCCCCAGTACTTGACCTGGTTGCCCTCGACGTAAACATCGTAGTCGACCTCAAAATTGACGTCCACTGGTGTGTTACCATTGTCACAGGTAATCTGGCCTGTCACGACAGAGGCCAGCGCCAATGCCAGCAGCACGGCGGCAGCAGCAGTCGTGCTCTTGAACATCTTGAACCGTTCTCTGACGTCTAAAATCCGGACGGAGAGATCAAGTGATGATGAGTTGAGGCTTTGGGGCTCTCGGCGAAGAATGGTTACCAAGGGGAAAAAAAAAAATGGCACAGCCGAGAAAGACTCGAGGAGATGATGATAAAAAAAAAACGAGTGCAAAGAAGATCCATGAGGAAAGCCAGGGAAAGAAGACAAACAAGGCTGGCAGAGGAGGAAGCAGCGTCCGCCCAGAAGGAGACGAGAAATGGATTGAGCAAGACGGTCAGGTCAACCCAGCCGGCGCCACCGTCAAGGACAGCTCTCTTTCGAACGCCGACGAACGACCGAGAGACAAGGAACAAAAACACCACCCCAAGCCCAACAACAGAAGGCGCAACCAGCAACGGTATCAGCGCCATCGGTATCGAGGGTATCGAGGAAAAGCACCCGAGACCACCCGCTGCCATTTGCCATTGACCGCAGTTACCTTTGACGACACACAGAGAGAGAGAGAGAGAAATTGCGCACAAAGTTCCGCCCCCCTGTGAGCCCTTGTGATCAACATCTGCTTCATTAACCTGTAAAGTACCGTCATAAATTTTCTCTTATTAGGTTAACAAAACAGCATAAGGTCATAATTTTGATACAGATGCCATGGATTTCACGTCAAAAAGCTCAGCCTGACCCACAAGTGTGATTAAACCTGTAAGGGTACAATGTTCTATCTGACACATATGTATGGGGACGTGGTCCTCAGGACAGGTCATGCTTACCGTCCCATGGACAAACAGTGTAAGACCACGCCACACACATTACTACAAACAGCATGTTACCAGTTGTCAGTGTGTCCGCCCCTTCATGTTGTGTTACGTGTGTGTGGAACCCATGACGAAAAGCATCAGAATGTATTTCTCGGAAATTAAATTTTCAACTTTGAGTGTAAAAGTGGTCACTGCCTTCGCATGTGATGGGTTCTCGGGGGTGCCAGGAAGTTCTGAAACACGATGGCGGGTCCGCCAGACAAGGACCGGTCCACAGGAGACGTGGTTGATCGGTAAGGAACGAGCGCAGGAAAGGGCGGTTCCCAACGGCAGTGGTAAGGCCTTGACGCGGACTCAAAAATTCAGGACAGAACTTCTGTGCAAAAAGGGGGGAAAAAAAAAACGAAAGTGCAACAAGGCGCAGATGCGCAGATGCGGCAGTTCAGGCGCTTGATGGGAGGGAAAGCGAATGATCACCCTAATCCTTGACAACTCGGATTCCCATGGAGCGGCACGAGCCAATGAGGCATTTGCACACCGACTCCAGACTCGTGTTCCGGAACTTGGCATCCTAGTCAGGAAGGAAGACAGACAGAGACACAGAGAGAGAGAGAGAGAGAGAGAGAGAGAGAGAGAGAGAGAGAGAGAGAGAAAAGCGCCTTGAGATATACAGAAACCGCATGGGGAACAAATCGAAAGGCAAGTAGAACCAGCAACACGGCACGTAGCAGAGTACAGTCTTGCAGGCACAGGTTACACACCTGTTGTTTGACCTGTGCAATCTCAAAAATCTGCTTGAGCGAAACCTTGCCCACCGTCTCGCGACCTGTGCGCCATCAGTTGTCAACACCGGGGTCCGCAGCGTGAGAACGACGAGCCACCATACGGCTCTCAAAACTTTGCAAGCTCCCCCTCTCCTTCCGCCCCATGCAGAACCAGATCCCATGGTCGTGCCACAAAGGACTGACCTGGCTTTTGAGCGCCCTTGGTCACGCCTGCGGCCTCTTTGATGAAATACGAGTTGGGCGGCATGCCTGTGCGCATGGTGAAGGTGCGGTCACCCTGCGCGCGCAAGCCCATGCAAGAGAACATGCATAAAACCATGAGCAACGAAAATTGAGATGCACCGCACGGTGAGCCAGCGAAAGCGCCTGCGCGTGACCTGCCTTGAGCTGCACTTTGGTCGGAATAGGCACGCCCTGCTTAAAGTCCTTGGTGCGCTCGTTAAACTGTTTGCAAAACTCCATGATGTTGATACCACGCTACACGGCCAAATCCAGTACCAGGCCCACCGTCGCGAGTGAGTGTCGCATTGAGGCCAAGCGCGGTGCAGCCCTCCCCGAGTCTGAACGGTCAGGCGAGCTTCCTTCTCGACCGAGCCTCTTCTCAGCAAAGGACACAAGAGGGCCCAAAAGGAACGAAACTTCTGGTAGATACGGTCGGGGTTTGGACCAGATGCTGGTGCCAGACAACACACCTGGCCGAGGGCCGGACCCAGCGGTGGAGCGGGCGCTGCTTTTCCCGCAGCAATGTACATGGAGAAGGACGAGATGATCTTGGTTTTGTTGCTCATGATACCGGTGGCAGCTAGGCAGTGCGCCCCTCCACCCGCCGTCTACGCTACCTACAAACCGTTCCAACACGCACACACCCAGCCAGCCCAACCAGCAAAGACAGGCCACACAGTCTTGTTCACCGACTCCCCCCTGGTACAGAAGCCCAGAGCTCTCTGTGTGTGTGTGGTAAGTGAGCGCGTGTACTTGACTCTGTGTGTGTGCGTGTGTGTGTGTGTGTGTGTGTGTGTGTGTAAGAAAGTGTGAAAATCAGCACACTAGACCTTCATTTGATCAAAGTGTATCTTCATATACACTTTATTTGAAGCCCCTTGTTGTTGTCTGCATGCAGGCAATTGGGCGTTTAGGCTGCTGCTGCTGCTGCTGCTTTTTTTTTTTTTTTTTTTTTTGCTCGATCGGGGTGCCCTGCCATTCTCCATGTTCGCCCACGGTGCAGCGCGTGGGCCGTGTTCAAGAATGGCTGTGCTCTCCCGCCAAGTGCAACAGGGCAATCTTTTGCGCCTCGCTCTTCTGGTTGTGTTCTTGCCGCAACTTCTGGCTTCTTGCGCAAATCAAGACGCCTGTTTCCAGCAGCGAAGTCCCCGCACCAACGCCACCCAAGCGCTGCACGCTGCTTTGCACCGCTACCACCACAGCCTGGACGAAGCGCGAGATGGTGCCTCCCTTGCAGACTTGCACAGCATCCTTGAAGATGTGGCCGACGCGCACGCCATTGCCAACGCCAGCGTTGCCGCCTGGACTGCACACAACAATATTTCCCGTACCGTGATGCTGGCAAATGAACTTTTGCTTGACGCCAACGTTGAATTGACCGCCGCCATGACCGCCTACAATAATACCGCAGAGCTGACCAATACGCTTCAGAGCCTGGACAGCCTTATCACTGGCCAGACTGCAGCCCTAGTCCGCCTCTCAGACCTCTCTCAGGCTCTATGGCAACGGCTTTGCAACAAGACCACCAGCACCGCAGACTCGCAGCCCAGCACCCTTGGTGCCTTTCGAGGACGGAGCTACGCCTTGCTTGAGCTCGAGCTCGGCGAGCGCAACAATGACATTTACCTCAGCTGGTATGCAGACGCCACCGGGAGCAGCAGCAGCAGCTCTGCTGGTCTTGAGCTTCTTCTCCGCCTCGAGGCCGATGATGGCGATGTCCAGGTCTGGCTCTGGCAACGCCAACAGATACTCGTGCAGTGGCCCTGCACCGCCAACACCGCCGAGGCTAGCGCCAGCGCCTACCAGCTCCGCGATGCCTCGATCATGCCTGAAGGCCTGAACCTCGTACGGCTGCACCGCAACACGTCACACATCCTTCTGGTCGTCAACGGCAATGCAACTGTTGTCCCACGTCCTGCCGACTGCAGTGCTGCCAAGGCCTGGCGCGGGACCATTCATGTGGGAGGTACTCACAGCACGGATTTGGGCCATGCCCACGTGCCCTGGCCTGATTTGGGCATTGACGCTGATGAGCCCGTGGAGGGTTGGTTTGGGTGCCTTGCACACCTCACTCTCGATGGCGCCCAGATCCACCGCGCTAGTTTCACAGAGGCGGTGGCCGTTACAGATTGTCAACCGGTCAAGGACCACAATATCACTTGTGACTTGGGCCGACGCACTTCTTTGGCTGCCCACATTCACGATCGTCATGCTACCGAGCAGCAACATCTGGACAGCTTGCAGGTGTATGCCAACCAGCTTGATCAACTGGCTGCCAGCGCAGCCACGCAAACAAGCACCACTGCAGAGCTGCATGCCGCCCTTGCCGTCTTCCCGGCAGAGCAGACACAGCTAACACGTGCCATTGCCAACGCCTCGACACTCGTGCGAGACCTCCAAGCCGTAGCTTCAACCTTGCACGATCGCGTGAGTTTGCTTGTAGCGCGCGTCAGCAACCATACCGAGCGCGTGGGATTTGCGCATGCCCTTGCGCGGGCGCTGACCCAAACCGCCCTGAACCACAGCCAGACAGCTACGGCTATGAGCGATGAGGCACTCACCCTGCACGCAGAGCTAGCTTCACTCCAGCAAGCGCTTCAGACGCAGCAGGGCCAAGTCCTTGGACTCAACCAACGTCAGCTGATAGTGCATTCTGTGGCCACGGGCCTCAACGCCAGTCAGCACGAGCTCGTCGCGCGTCTTGGGGCTCTGATGGTTACTGAATCCGCTCGCGTTCTTGTGGCGCATCAGGAGATACTCGAGCAGGTGATTACGGTCGACGCCAGCACCTTCTTCACACGTGCCGAGGCTGCTGCCCAGCAGTTGCACGCGGCTGTCGCCACGCTCGCTGCCATCAATGGCAGTGTCAGTGCGCTCGCCCAAGACGCGCAGATTGTCCGGGATTTGGCCAACAAAACCCTGTCCCGAGCTCGATCCACCACACACGAAGCCGCAACGTTGGCTTCGCGCCTCTCTGCCCTGGATCAGACGGCCAACTTCTCGCGCCATGAGCTGGCACTCAAGACGACTCTGGTGCCGGCCCTCAGCGACACGGTGGACGCCCTCAGCCAGCAGACGGCAACTCTGCTGGACAACGAAGCCGTGCAAAACACCACACGACATGTACTGGGCGAGCAGGTGCGAGCTACCGAACGCTCTTTGGCCGCTGACCACACCCACACCTCAGCGATGCTCGCGCGTAAGTCTCTCTGCTAACACACCACTTGTCATGGCACTTCCGTTTGTGGCCTGTAGTCTAATCCCTCACCGCCAACCGTTGCTACTTTGCAGAGGTGCTGTCAAATGCCAATGCATGTGCAGGACGCAGTGACACGGCCTGGACTGCATTACAAGAGGCCTTGACCGAAGCGCTTGCAACACAGCACTCGGCCCAGATGCTGTCAACGCGGCTTTTAGCCCTAGCCTCGCAGTTACATGCGGCCTTGACCGCGAGTCGTGCCTCGTCGCTGGCCGATCAGCTATCCGACTGTCTTAAACAGCAAACTGAGCTTGAGGCGGCAGAAGCCAGTTTGGAGGTGGCTACCGCGAGCATCGAGCAGCAATTAACCCGGGCCACGGACGCTGGTTGTTTTCCCGATACAGCCCAATGAGAGACTGCGCTTGGTGAGAATATAAGAATCTATTTCATAAGCGACACTTGTTCGGCTGCGCGCCCGTCCCTCCCGTTTCGTATTAGGCTGTGAATGAGACAGGAGGCTGCCTGTCGAGTCTTTTTGCTAATCCTTCCCTCAAAAAACCGCTTTCTCAGTCCGAAGGTTTTTTCGTGAGGATGACGCTTGCGAGAAATGAGTCCGACCAAATGTTTTCTTGTGAGAAAAGTTTTTGGTTCGTCAATTTACGACTATGAATGAGGTCTCTTATCAGTCCGACGGTAGAAGTCGTTCTTGTGAGAAAAAGGTGTGCAAGCATAACTCTTCTCACATGTCAGTTTCGGCATTTTTCTTCATCGTCAAAAATGGCATTCTCACCAGACTGTTTTGACTTGGGGACGGACGGGATGACGCACGACACGTTTCGTGAGCCCATCTTTGTGGAGTTGCTTCGAAACGCCAAGACAGGCAACATCGTGTACATGGAAACCACTCAAGCGTTTGTCGAGGCACTCGGGGCTGTAATGCATGAGCCCGTGGGCGCAGTGGCTCAGCGATTTGACGGCTTGGAGTTGGGCATTACTCGTGTGGCCACCCACCTGTTTGCATTGCGCGACGATCTCTGGCATGGCAAAAAAAAAAATATGATTCCATCATCAATCGAGTGGAAAGCCGACGATGAAGAGCTATCTCCTTGCGAACTTTGTCGCCTGCGTGCTAAGTTCCCAAGGGGCTGGCTCGACCATGGGTATGCCTCGAAAGACGTTCATGCAAAGGGAGAGCGTTGCAAGCTGTGCAACAACAGTTGCACCTACGGTCAAACGAATTCAGATGCATCGATGTGCATGGAGCATTGCTTCAATTGCCGCAAATCGCGGTCCGCACGTCTTGGCTCTGAACTGCAGGCGCAAGGATTGGACCGAGTCCTAGCCACCTGCTCTAGGACACCATCTCGCCCCCAATTTGTGCGAACTGTGAAATTCATTGTCACAGATTCGCTGCAGGTTTTTGAGAACAGCAGCATCAAGGCGCTCCAGCTGTTGGGGGCAGCCAAAGCTGACCTATCACAGTTGGAAACGATCAGTGTTCAAGTTGACCGTGACCGCTTTGCACAGTTGCTCAGTTACATGCTTCTCAACGACACGCACGCTCTGACCAAGACATTTCATGATTGCAACGCTGCTTGATCTCCTGCTTTTTGCGCCAAGTTCATTGTTAAAGCCGTATCGACGGCCTCGGGACGCCTGCAATGTGATATGCTTGACCAAGATTTGCTTTTTTCAAGAATGAATCGATTTTGCGCGTACAACAATCATGTCACCCCATCCAAGTAACCCTCCTTGAGCCTAAGGCCATGGCGAGTGCGGAGTCGGGCTGAGGCAAGTGTGGCATCGAGGGAAAGTCGAGTCGAGAACAGCCAACAAAAAAAAAAAAAAACAGAAGGGTCGGCAGACATGCTTGGTATTCTACAGCGAGTCCTCAAAGAGGAATGTTGCCGTGCTTCTTGGCGGGATTGCTAATGGACTTGTTCTCCAGAAGTTCGAGATCCTCGCAGATGCGTTGGCTACATGAGAAGAGGGTGAGGTGAGCAGCAATCAGGGACAAGACTTGCTCATGCGATGGCGACGGCGGCCGTACCGCGTGGTGGCAGGGTCAATGATGTCATCCACGAAGCCACGGCGAGCAGCGGGGAAGGGGTTGGTGAAGGTTTCCGTGTACTCGCGTTCGCGCTCCTTGAGAGCCTGAGGAGGGGAACAACCATGAGAATCAGGCATGGACAGAGGAATCAGAAGAAGAAAATGGCACATCGTACACGATGACGCAGATGAACGACCGTGATCAGATTCTGCGCCGAGCGGTGCTTCATACCTCAGGGTCCTTCTCGCGACGGTAAATGATGGCGGTGGCGCCCTTGGCGCCCATGACGGCCACCTCGGCTTGGGGCCAAGCATAGTTGATGTCGCCGCGCAGGTGCTTTGAGCTCATGACATCGTAAGCACCACCGTAGGCCTTGCGAGTAATGATGGTGATCTTGGGGACGGTTGCCTCGGCGTACGCGTACAGCAGCTTGGCACCATGGCGGATGATGCCACCGTACTCCTGTCAAACCAATAAGACAAACAAAGCCCGTGAGTTGAATGGCACTATGGTGTCCTGCCGTGTGAATAGGCTCGTTTCCCTGTCGATAGGAGGGTCTGCAAGGAGAAGACACCAAATGCGGTCTGACCTGAGCGGTACCAGGGAGGAAGCCAGGCACATCGACCAGCGTCACAAGGGGCACGTTAAAGGCGTCGCAGAAGCGCACAAAGCGGGCAGCCTTGACGCTAGCGTTAATATCAAGGGTACCAGAGGCAGCCTTGGGCTGGTTGGCGACAATGCCGACGGAGCGGCCGTCAAAGCGACCAAAGCCAATGATAATGTTCTTTGCGTGGTCAGGTTGGATTTCAAAAAAGCGGCCGCTGTCAACGAGCTTGGTGATGACCTCCTTCATGTCGTACGCCTTGAAGGGATCCTTGGGCACCACCGTCTCGAGCGAGGGCTCTTGGCGATCTGTCAATGAGGTTCAAATCCAGAGTCAGAGCACAAGTGAGAGCACCACCTACCATGGTCATCCTCGGCCAAGCTTTTGCCGCACGTACCCGCCCAGTCGTTGGACACAATGGAGGGGACCTTTTCTTTGTTGCTTGAGGGCATAAAGCCGACAAGATCACGCACAGCCGCCAAGGCTTCGACGTCGTTATCGTACGCGCAGTGCGCCACACCTAATGACAGTAACACAATGGCATCAAGGGCAGTACACGGAAGGCTCAGTGGGGGTGGATGGTGAATATTGCAAGCTGCTGTCTGGGAAGAACGGACCTGACTTGACGGTGTGCACCGAAGCACCACCAAGCTCGTCGTGAGTCACGTCTTCGTTGGTTACTTGCTTGACCACATCGGGGCCAGTGACATACAAGTAGGACGAGTCCTGTGGGGTGTGCGATATCGCCAGCAGGTGATGAGATGGCATGCGTCAAGGAACGAAGAGAAGGTGATTGGGCGAAGAGAAGGTGATTGGGTTGAGTGCAGTGCGCCTTTCGGGGTCCGGGGTCCAGGGTCCGGGGTCCACGCCAAGGGTCATGTCAGATTGGGCGCGCATGTGGGAGCTGACTTACGCGGACCATGAAGGTAAAGTCTGTGAGGGCGGGGCTGTAGACGGCACCGCCGGCGCAGGGGCCCATGATGACGGAGATTTGGGGAATGACACCCGACGACATGACGTTGCGCTGGAAGATGTCGGCGTAGCCGGCCAAAGCATCAATGCCCTCCTGAATGCGGGCACCACCCGAGTCGTTGAGACCAATGACGGGGGCACCAAGTTCCATGGCCTTGTCCATGATCTAATGTCCAGCGCCACCGCAAGAAAGTTGAGTGGTGCGAGCGGGTGTGGGTATGTTGGGGGGAGCAGGTGTGCGGGGGTGCAGGTGTGCAGAATCATTTCGAAGGCTTGTCGGGGGAACTGAGTCGAAGTCGCGGAACAAGACAAAAAGAGACACGAACCTTGCAGATTTTCTTGGCATGAGTGTCACCAAGGGAGCCGCCAAGGACGGTAAAGTCTTGGGAGAAGACAAAGACGCGACGGCCGTTGATGCGGCCGGTGCCAGTGATCACGCCATCACCCGGGAACTAGAAGGGAGGGGGGGGTGGGCGGTGAGGGGGGCGCACACAGGTGAAGAAAGAGGCAAAATACGCGGGGAAGAATAAGGGTGATGGAAGGGGATGAATATCAACTCGTGGAGAGGCATGGCGGAGGCCCACCTTCTTCTTGTCCATGCCAAAGTCGGTGCAGCGGTGCTCCATAAGCATGTCATACTCGCGAAAGGAGTTGGGGTCGAGGAGGAGGTGAATGCGCTCGCGGGCGGTCAGCTTGCCCTGTAAGCGAGGCAGCCAACGAACATCCAGCATAACATGAGCGTTGACGGGTACATCAGCCGGATCAAGTCACGGCACTTGTGGGATGAGCTGGAGTGCATACCTTTTCGTGGCGCTTCTCCACGGCAGCCGAACCACCGCCAACCTCAGCCCACTGGCGTGCGGTTTCCAGGCGCTGGTGGATATCATCGTGGCGGTGCAGGTGCTCCTGTGGGTGAGCGGCGCAGAGAGAGAGGGGGGAAAGGAAGAGGAAGGGGGGGGAAGGATAGAGGAAGGGGGGTCACGCCGTGAGACACAAAGTCACAACTAACTGGGGCAAGACTGGTTCGATGGTGGGAGGGCGCGAACAGAAGAAACGCACCTCAAGCGGGGTCACGGAAGACCCATCATCGTCGGTAATGACATGAGCCTTGGTCATGCTCCAGCGGGCCGAACTGGCCAGAGTTTGACGCAGGACCAGCTGCGAGGCCACTGCCGAACGGCTATACAAGCCCAAAGTACGAAGCGCCGCCATGGTGTGACCCTCTCTGACACACCACACGCCCGAGAGAGAGAGAGAGAGAGAGACCGAGAGAGAGAGAGAGAGAGAAAATGAACGCAAACTCAGTGTGTGTGTAGAGAGTGTGCATGCTTCGGTCGGGTGGTAAGAATGTCAGAATTTAAGAGGAAGAAACAGCACTTGACAGTAGAAGCTGCGGAATCCTTGGTAAACGTCACATAAACCTCCCTGTGATAGCTTAATAATCCAACACAAAGTCGGTTATCTACTACATGAACCATTGATTAAATGTTCGCTACCAACTGTTGTTGTAAAAACCAGAAAAGAGAGAGATTTGTCACGCGGTAAGCGATTTTTTGGATGACAATTCCGTCTGACAAGTTGTTGTCAGACTTTTAGGTCGTCAAGTTGTGTGTGTGAGAGAGAGAGAGAGAGAGAGACTGATTTTGGCGAATTTGCTGGCTTTGGCTCTTGGGGGCCATTACGAGGAGCAGGCAGACCGTTGGGGCAGTTGGGACGGTGGTGGACTTGGGTATTCCCTCGGCGGCTGGAACTTTGGGACGGGGTGAGGCGGGGGGGGAAGGGATTGTGTTTTGGATGGTCGTTGTGCTGGTGTTGACGGGTTGGATTTAGATAGCCGGCACCATGGGTCTTGCGACCATGCTGAAAAAGCTCAAGGCCAAGGAGGGCGAGATGCGCGTGCTCATCTTGTACGTGCAGCCCAGTGCTACTTTGCTGGGGCCGTCAGATGTCGTGTGCATCCCTTATCTGGCGGACGTGTCGCTCCTTCTGAACCTGGGCGCAGGGGCTTGGACAACGCTGGTAAGACGACCATTCTGAGAAAGTTCAACGGCAAGGACATTGATGAGATCATGCCGACCTTGGGCTTTAATATCCAGACCATTCACCATGACGGGTACGACCTGCAAGCCACAGTGCCGTGACAGGCACTTGGCCCGAAATATCGCCACCACCCCTGTCATACCTGGCCTTTCCACGCCCGCCTTTTCATGTCCACCGGGCCCTCATGCTTCATCATAGTTATGAACTCAATTTTTGGGATGTCGGTGGTCAAAAGTCGCTGCGCACTTATTGGCGCAACTACTTTGAAGCCACCGACGGTATTATCTGGGTACGTTTGGCCCTGGGGTGCGATGGCTGATGGCCCGGGGACGACGTTTGTAACATTGGTTCTAGAGTCTTATCGAATATTGCTCGCTACTCTAGGTGATCGACTCCACGGACCGCCGGCGCTGGGAAGAAGGCCGTGAGGAGCTCTTCAAATTGCTCAGCGAAGAGGTGCGTTCCATGGCGGTCTCGGCCGACCGACAAACCCTCCCTTCCCCTATGACTTGCAATGTGCCATCCAACACTGCGCCCTGCTGTCACAGCGTTTGGCCGGTGCCTCGGTGCTGATATTTGCCAACAAGCAAGATCTACCCGGCGCGTTTCCCGTCAGCGAAATTGCCGAGGTTCGTCCAAGTAGGCAAGCAGACGACGTCCTTGCTCGGGACAGACGGCATTCTCACTCCCTGGCCGGTGCTGCCCCGCCCACAAAACTACAGCAAATGAAGCTGGACGCCCTATCATCACACCATTATCGAGTGCAGGGGTGCTCTGCCGTCACGGGCGAATCGTTGCTCGAGGGCATCGATTGGCTCGTGGACGATATTGCCCGCCGCATCTACATGAAGGACTAGACACCTTGACTTGACAGCGTTTTTTGTGTGCACCGTTGGTCAATCATGCCCGGCGGGCTCCGGGCTGCCTTCTGGACGCAGACGACCATGTTTTAAAGTTTTGGCAGCCATGCTTGTTTAAATGTTTGGTTCAATGTTTGTTTAATTGACGTGGGGTGCCGATCCTGGCATCGAGCAACTTTGATATCCCTGTCTGGTCCCGAGATCGACCAGCCTTTGATACTTACTTTTCACCATGGCAAGAGAGAGAGGGTGGCGCTATGGACAAAAATTCGTTCTCAATGTCCACCTCTAAAACTAGCCACGATCCTTCGTTCCAGTCTGATTCGTGATTGATATGCGAATGCCAGACAACACCATGTGTGTTCTTGTCCGGGTACTTCAACGGCGAGCCATGACGTAGCTGGGACGCGCCTCAACCTTTTGCAGCCTATCGCATCGTGATTGTGTCGTCCACACATCGCCGTTCGCGTAAGAGGAGCCCCACGGTTGCAATAAATACGCGAAAAACAAACAGAAATTCGACCAAAATAGGATTATGAAGAAACAACGCGCCTGCATGAGCGGAGCGGCGTACCTTTTGAACATGGGTTGGAAAAACTCAATCTGCATCATCTTGAATATGTCTCGGTTGACTTCAGCTGTATATCGTCCCCAAAAGCCGACACGCATCGTGAGTCAAAAAAGCGAGCAAACCAAGCATCCTCACTTTTGCCGATCGACTCGAGTTTGCCCTGGCACACGCTCCACGAACCATCCTTCAGGTACCGACGGCGCAGCTTGTCAAAGTCGTGGAATTGGCGATGTCGCTCATCAGTCATGCTCTTCATCAAACCATCCTTGGTGCTTTGGATGCGACGCTTGACTTCATCGGTATCGCGCCGTTGCTGCAATTGGATATCTTCGAGACGACGCAAGCAAGCGTGGTTCGAAGTCCCCAGTGCCTCGAAGCGGTCATCGTGAAGCTTGGCCTTGCTCAACACCTTGTCAATCTGGCCCTCAACATCTTGCTTGACAACGTCAATAACGCGCTCAATATTTGAAATGTCTTGCTTCATAAGCTCAATCGCCAGCGTGTTCTGATCCCCAATGCGATCCAAGGCCAGGGAAACACCCTCTTGGTGCGTGACCTGCGCTTGTCGCACCTCTTGCACTCGCTTGGAAAAGTCTGTCTGAAGGTGGTGATAGAGCTCGTTAAACTGCTTTTGATGCAGATCGATGAGCTGGTGATTGCGGTACGAGTTTTGAGCTGCAGCGACGAGCTCCTGCTGCATGCTGTGCAGGCGTTGGGTCAAGTGCATGACGGACTGCATCATGGCCGGATCGGCCGTTTCGCTCCATCCAGAAGCCGGGCTGGACGCGGCAGCATTGACGGCCGCCCCTGGCTCGGCAGTGCCTGCCGCTGGTGGTGGAGTTGCCGCTGGCGCTGGGCTGGTAGCTGGAATGGGAACGGCAGCGCGTGCAATGGTAAACTGATTGGAGATTTCCTGCATGCTGCTCTGCAATTCAGAGACCTGGTTGGTAGTCGCCTCCAGCTGGGCCGTAAAGCGGGCCAACTCTTGCATCGTGTCCTCCTTGTGAGTCTTGGATGTCTGCTTGGTCTTCTCCAGCATCGAGGCGGTTTCTGTGCGGTGCTTCTTGAGACGACTGGAAAGGGTCTGCTGATACTCGGTTAGCAGCTATGGAGACCGTAAATATTGGTCAGTTTGGATGGATCAACGTCAAGCTTAAACGAGGCGTGTAGCGAGTTCCTCTTGATCGTCGAGTAGACGCGGGAAACATAGGATGGCCACGGGCTTTGTCAACAAGAAGCAGACAAAACCTGTCGTCGTCCAACAAACAAGACTTGCCTTTTCCAAAGCCTCGATTCGAGCGACAAGAGGGCCTTGTTTATGCTGAATCTGTTCGGCAGCAGACGTAGTGGCTTGCTCGAGCATGACCTCGGCTGTGATGCGCGTAGTCTGATTTAGACTGGCCATGCTCTCCTTCATCTCTTGAACCTACACCATCATGGGTTGATCCAGGGCTTAGCGTTGTCAGGCATGATACTCATGCCCAAGTCGTCAACAGGTCTCGATGCTACCAGTCGCGCCTCACCTCGTGTTGGAGTCGCTGTAAAAGGTCTTCGCGTTGATCCTGAGCATCGCTCTGTAGGCCATCTTGCTGCTCTGTCAAGCGAGCGATGGCCTCTTGTTGAGTTTGCACGAGCTGACGAAGCTCGGCCAGCTCAAGCTCTTGTGCATCCAACCGTGCTCCAGCGTTTTCAGGTAGCCTTTGCCCTAGCCTGCATGTGTACACACAGGTGAGGCAAGCAAGACAAGTCCGCCTAGGCACAAGGACAACAGGCAAAAGACAAGAGAAGCGTAACACACATTTCATCGACACGGCCAGCCAGTCGGTGCTCCAAGTTGCGTGCATCATCGTGCTGTACCACCGGCTGTGCGGGTGGCCCATTGCCACGATTCATCTTCGAGCGTTTGCCACGCAGAACTGCAATCAAACAGCCAAGTCAAGGCAAGGGACGTGGCCAACGACGCAGGCGTGGAGAAAATGAAGCATCGAAGCACCAAGTCCCCCTTACCACATCAGCTGTGCCCCGGGCTCTTTGATAATATCTTCTCGCTCAACGTTCACTTCAAGGACAAGCCACAACAACCAGATCCACGACGCCCCTAACTCCAACACAAGCTCCCCACGACAGCAAGCACTCTGCCCCTCCCCCCCGTCCGCCCGTCGCCCACCCCTGTCCGCTCCCCCGCATACCAGCGCCACTTCATGCAAGCACGCACAAATTGTCATCCAAATTATAAAGTATATCAAAAGACACACGTTCCCAAGCGAACCAAATCCAAATTTTTTTCTTTTTTTTTTTTGGTGAAGAAACACAAGAACTTGTGAACTTGGGTGGCGCTGGCGCTGGGGCACGCTCGGGTGCGAGTGGTGTGGCGCTGGTGGTCGTGCCGGTCTTCAGAGGCATCTATCTGCTGGGATAGCCCGGGAATCGGGGCAGAAAAAGGCCCAAGAAGTGCGGAAGGTCAATAGACCCAAGTGTGCGCCAGGAGGCTGACCATCCGTACAAGATGCCAAAGGGCTCGGCGGGCCCCCAGGGCATTGTGGTGTTTGGCCGCGTCAAGCCCTGTGACAAGCCGTTTCAGGGGTTGCAGGTGGACCATGACCCTGAACGACAAGACTCTATTTTGACTATGCACATCCCCAAGCATCTTGAGGTATATCGCGACGTGCAGGCTCAGATTGGCGCCGATGCACAGCTGGCTCCTCATGCGAGACCCTCGACCCGTTGCTGCGTAGGTGGGCGAAATCAACAATCGGCGTGAAGACTACCGCTTCCAGTTTGCGCACGTCTTTCCTCGTGACGTGGCGCAGAGCACGGTCTTTGATCGTGTAGCGCGCCCCGTCGTCGACAGGTATGGTTAGCTTTGTTTGAAGCGTTCGTCCAGATGGCCGCGCTGCGATGATCCAAACCAGATGTAGCTCTGCCGACCAACCCCCTCCGCTCACGACGGATGGAATCTGAACCTTCATGCGTTTCAACAGTGCATTGGAAGGCTACAACGGCACGATCTTTGCATACGGCCAGACTGGTTGGTTCACACCTTGTAACGAGCTCGGCATGCGAGGATGAACTCCCGCTCACGCTTCCTCTCTCGGGTGGGAGGGCTTTTCAGGTACTGGCAAGACTTTTACCATTACTGGCGGGCCAGATCGCTACGAGGATCGTGGCATCATTCCCCGTACCCTCTCCTATCTCTTTCAGCACTATGCCGAGGTATGCTGATGTTCCAAGGGCTAACCATAACGACGAAGCGCACACCCCCCGAGTCTGATGCTTGCCCATTCCGATAGCACCCAGATACGCTGTTCTCGACCCATGTTTCATACCTGGAGATTTACAATGAAAGTGGCTATGACCTTCTGGACCCTCGCCACGACATCAAGAATATGGAGGACCTTCCCAAGGTAAGGTATCTCTGGTGCTTGGCTCACAGGCCTGCCATGTCTATCAGCTTTCGCGCCAAACTTGGGCACGAGTCTTGCACTCAAGTGGCACGCCTCCTGGACATGTGTCTTTTGTGCGCTTCTGTGTGCCCTAGGTCACGCTCATGGAAGATGGTACTGGGGGCGTGCATCTTCGTAATCTCTCGCTCAACCCCGTCAACAGCGAAGAGGACGCCCTCAATGCCCTTTTCCTGGGTGACACCAATCGCATGATGGCCGAAACACCCATGAACATGGCCTCGACACGCTCACACTGCATATTTACGGTTCACATCTCTGCTCGTGAACCGGGCTCGGCCGTCTTGCGCAAAGCCAAGCTGCATCTCGTCGATCTGGCTGGTTCAGGTCTGTTCAAGTCACCCTTTCTGGACGCGCTTCGGGCTGGAGATACGGAAGACCGCCTGCCCCATGTTTCGTGCTTTTGCTCTTGGTTTTTTTTTTTTTTGACTTCTTGTTCTTGCGGCGCTTTCGAAAACACTTCAGAACGCATCAAGAAGTCCAATGTGAACGGCATGCTCCTAACTGAAGCCAAATACATTAACTTGTCTCTGCATTATCTGGAGCAGGTAGGCGTTGATGTCGCTCGCAGTATGTACCTTTGGCAGCGACTCATACTCGTGGCACCCTTCCCCTTCATGTGTGCTCGCTTTGCATACCATATTATCTCAGGTCATTGTGGCCCTCTCCGAGCGGCAGCGAAGCCACATCCCGTATCGCAACTCGATGATGACCTCAGTGCTGCGCGATAGCCTGGGTGGCAACTGCAAGACCACTATGATTGCAACCATGTCAGCGGAGGAGAGAAACGTTGATGTGCGTCATCATGACCTTTTTTTTTTGGCCAAGTCGTGTCGCAAATTGTTACCACTGGTCAAGCCAATGGTGTCTGACCCGAGGCCGGTTGTCTCCGTGCGTGTGCGCTTGCTAAGACCAAACGCCCCATCTCATTCGAATCCCAACATTCGATCGGAAAACCCCCAGGAAACCATCTCTACCTGTCGCTTTGCTCAACGCGTTGCTTTGGTGAAGAATGATGCTCGCCTCAATGAGGAAACCGGTGCGTGTGCTTCTTCCCTCTACTTTCAACTCCAATCTCAACTCCTATGGCCTTACAAGCGCACCGCCTATTTGTGAATTGGGATCTAATCTGGTTGATGAGGGCAATAGATCCACAGCTCATTATCGCCAAGCTACGCAAGGAGGTGGCACGCCTCAAGGAAGAGCTGGCCACGGCCACGGGGCATGTTATCGATGAGCCTCTCACTGATTCGGAACAGGCCGAGTACGTGACCCTCGCTTAATTCCCCTTGAATCAGACCCAGGCTCCCTTCGATTCGCCGAACACAGCTGGTCTCAGGCAGTCTTCCACCCGCCTCCACCAGATGTCAAGCAGCTATCGATTCCTATCTACGAGATCCATCTGTCGATGCCGACTTGGGAATGGCCGACCCTCGAAAAACTGCGTATTGCTTTGCCTATCTCAAGGTCTTGATTCCTCCCTGTGTGTGTGTGTGTGTGTGTGTGTGTGTGTGTGTGTGTGTGTGTGTAACCTCATGCTTGGTTTGCTCCGTTTAGCGTATTGTACTGGAAAATGGATCTGAGCACACAGGCACGCGTCAAGGAACGGGTACAGACAAAGAGGCACACGATCGTTGGCCCGCCGAGGTGGCTGAACTCCAGGCACTTTTGCGGCAGCGGGACCATGAAGTTGCCATCCTTGCCGCCAAACTCCAAAAAGCGCGTGCAGAGCGTAGTAGAGACGACGTCACATCTCGGGCTGCGACTCCGCGAATGGACCCCAACCCAGCCACCGCATCCCAACCTCAAATGGAGCCAACCCGCACTCAACCCGCGCCGCCTCCGCCCGACTTGTCCGACGCCCAACGTCAATTGGCTTATGACGATTTTCGGCGCCAATATTCGGTTTGCATCTTTGCTAAAACATTCCAAGCCTCGTGATGTGTTGGTCCCGGTTCGATCATGGCTCCAGCTCATGCGCACTTCTCAAACACGATACAGGAAATGCCAGTCCTGGAGGCTAAAAAGAGCGAACTCCAAGCGCTTTACGCCGAGGCCAAGACCTTGGGGCAACGAGTTCACTCCATCAAGTAAGAATCTAGCCTATACATCGAGTGGCACGCGTTTTTGTTTGGGGGTCGCCTTACGGGGACGTTATCTTGTAGACAGAGACTCTCCTCGCTGAAAAGCGAATTGGAGCGTCATCGCCTTCGCATGGTTCCTACGATGCTCGAGGCCGGCGAGGATGCTTGGCAAGATGATCCAACGGACGCAGCTCTGCGTTCGCAAATCGACGAACAAAATGACGCGTGCGACGTGCTTTTCCCTCCTCCCCAGCTTGGTGTGCTCTGTGTGCTGCTTTGGCCTCATCGTTTCCATGGGTGCTGCTTGAGCAGATACAAGGAAGGGTTGGTGCAACTCAAGTCCCACAAACGCAAGATTGAGCATCTTCAGCACTTGCTGCAGGGAGCCAAGGTATTGGCACCGCATTGGCATCCCCCCCCCCCTTCTTTAGACGGCCTAGATTCTTATTTTCATTGCCTTCCTTTGGGTCATTGTCCCTTTTAGACGCGCTTGCATCAAGAGTTTGAAATCTGGTTGCTTGAGCACGTGGAAAGATACAACACACTCTGATCGTCGCAACTCCAATTGGGCCACTGCCAGCAGAGTGATGTGGCAAACGAGGAAGGCTGTGCTAATTTCAGCCCCTTTCTTCCAAAAGACGCATCCTCTCAATGAGGCAGCGCGCCCATAACTAGTGAACACCATTACACGCGTTCAGGCGCAACGGTCGCAGCGCGACACAGCAATAGGCAAAAGCGCGTGTTTCAACTCTCTTTATCAATCAAGGCCGACCGAAATAACGCGACTACAAACACGGCCAAGTCTCACAGACCGGCCATCTTGGGTTCATACCCTGTCATGTTAACATGAGCCCGATCAACGGACGGGAAAAAAAACAAAAAAAAACAAAAAACAGGTCAATCAAAATGCAGGCGCACAACGGTTTTTCACGAGACACGCGCAAGTTCAACCCTACGCGTCAGAAAATAGCGCAGCACAAGGGTAAATGGCAACAAGCAGGCCAACGGCATCGCGGGCCAGCCAAAAAAAAAAAAAAATTAGTGACGCCGACGCTCTTTTGAAACAACATTTGTGATCCACAGAAAACACAAAAGTCCAAAGTTTGCAGGGAGTGCAAAAGATTAAAATACAGCTAGGTCGGCCATGGAAAAAGAAGAATACGGTCAAAGCCGATTGGCCAGGAGTGCAGATCAACAGCGCACGCGGTTTAACAACGCTGCACGAGGGCAAGCGCGTCATGGTGCAACTCTGCCTAGCGATTGTCTCGCTGCTTGGCTCGCTTTGACGTCGTCGTGCCTTGGCTCGCACTGCGAGCCTTGGGCCGGGTCTTGCTGCTTTGCCGAGGCTGAGTCGCGGTACCTGCGTGGGATGGTGATGGGCCTTTGGTCTTATCAGGTGAAAGACCGTTGAGCAGCAGGGTTGCGTCGGTGGCTCGGATTTTGGCCATGGTGCCGCGACGCGCCAGCAGCGTGCTCAGCACCATCTACCGATAGAGAAAGAGAGAGAGAGAGGCGGGGGAGGAGAGAGGGGATGACACAGATGCATGGAAAGACGAAAGTAGAGATGAGGGCATAGTGCAACTTGCGGAAACTACACAAAGTGGAATCGCAAAACTTTCTAGCCATGGACCGGAGCACTACTTACGCAGACGTCAGCAGGCTGCGAGTTGGCAGGCTCTCCGGTGGATGTGACCGTGCCCAAGAGGGCGAGCAGCGCTGGAGAGCCAAAGTTGTTGTTTCGCAGGTCAACGGTAGCTTGCTTCAACAAATTGCGAGCTTGAGACCGCTTGTCGGCTGCAGACTTCTGCGAGCTCTGTTTCTTCCCGGCCCCTGTCGTTCCAGGGTTGCCCTTCTCTTCTTCCTCATCGTCGCCGCCATCATCCTCGTCACTTCGAGGAGTGTTGGGCGAGCGCGAAGTACTGGCGCGCTCGCCAACGGGACGGTCGTTGATCTTTTTCAGCAAGCATTGAATCAGGTACAACGCCAGGTCTGTGTCAGCAAACTTGTGCAAGGCCAGCTGCAGCGAGTTGCTTCGCTTGCCATGGGAGTACAAGATGTCATGGGCCATATCGGGCATCTCGTCCATGAAGTGACGAACGCACTAGAAGACAAATGGCCAAACGAAGAAGCGTAAGGCAGCCGATGAGTCGGGAGATGGCATCTGCACTTTGATATCCGAGGCAGATTGAAAGAGAGTGTGAACAGAGCTGAGGAGAAACGCGCACGAACCGGCAGCGCGCGCTCAAGAATCAACTGAACGCATGGCTCGTCCTTGCCCGTGTGAATATGACGGAGCACTGGACAGGCAACATTCAGGAGATGCACCAAATGCAGACCGGAGCACATCAAAGCCCACTAAAAAGTTATTGACAAATGGAAATGCAATCCACAGAATGAGTGTTGTAGGGGGATCCTCTA